TATATATATATATATATATTGTTACATTTATTTTATTTAATCATATTTTTTTAAACTTTTTTTGTACTTAACTTAATTGCTATCACATAAGGAAGCCCCCTATGTGATAGCATACTACAGGTGACAGTGTCTGTCTCCTTTCCACTCCAAAGATTGTGCTCTGATATCTCCTTGCCTGGCTTCTGCAGCCTGGGGCAATGACAGCTGAGGGACTGAAGTGATGCAATCAGCGTCGCTTCTGATCCCATTCAGTGGGAAGGGGGGGTCGGCAAACAGTTGTTCACTGGTCTCCTTCCCCACTTCCCGCCGACACCCATGATGCCGGGCCCGGCCCTGGGAAGAAAGGCGGGGGTGTCGGGTAGGGGGGAGCACACTACACTGGCCCCTGGAAGCACTCTGGCGGAAGATAGCTGCCAGAAGTGTGTTTAAAGAGGCCCGCTGCCAGTGACGTATGACATACATTGGCGGCAGTGAAAAGTTTTTTTTGTTTTGGATGGAATATTTTTCATGTCTCCGACCCTGTTGGGGAGATTTGACCAGGTGACTGGGACTGAAAGTGATGGGGAGAGCCAAAAAATTGACTCACCGGGACTGGAGCAATTTTCCACGGGGGAAACTTGTTCCACTGATCCTCTAAAAATGAATTTCCCTTACTATTAATCACTTCTTGCCATGTCTGCAGGACAAGAGATGAAGACAAACCTCTCCACATACATGACAGGGGGTCATTTTATTCATTATATACTCTGAAAAACATGTTTTAGATTCACGTTTGGTTCTCAGGCATGCCTACCATCTGTGGCCAATTTAATTTGGTCCTGCTCTCCCTGCTGGACTTTTAAACTGGTTAATATCCTGTGGGTTACATGTAAGACCCCCAATTCCGGGATACGTTTTTTTAATTTACAAGAAGATCCGCAGCGGCTCAATCTGGAGCTGCCACTTACAGTACTTCATTTTCACCATAAGATGTCCTCAGTTGTCTGGCTTCAAAGACACCCATTGTCAGTGTCAACCCAGAAGACTGAAGGCATACTGTGGGGGTGTCATCACGGTGCCATGTGCTCTCAGTGTAATGATGAAGAGAGCAGCACTGAGCAGAAAAGGACTGGAGAGGAAGAGGACCCAGTGTATCATGTGACCGACCTACAGACATCTAGAAAAGGTAAGAATATATTTAAAAAAAATAAAAACAAAGCCAAAAGCTTCCATGGGGAAGGGAGGGGGGCTTTTAAAGTAGATGCAAACCCTATGGTCCCATTCACACCTAAGTGTAACATTAATCGCATGATACTGTGTGTTTAGAACACTCTATTACACAACACACCTAACGTGCATTACGGTGCACTGGATGTGTTGTGGAGCAGTGAAAAAAAGTAGTGCATGAGCTACTTCTTTTCACTGCAGCGTATGGCATTGCGGTGCACAATGGCTGCTAGGTGCGTTGGCGTGCTATTCAAATAAATGGCAACACAATACACCTAGAACACAGCAATGCAAGCTAGGTGCACCAGTGTGCTGGCTACACTTAGGTGTGAATGGGCCCTAACTGGGTGACATTTATTTTATTGTTAAAACACCACTTTTCATAAAGAAATGCATTTTTTA